GGCTTCAGTAAGGGTGTAACATGTAGCCTCAGTCTGACAGGCTTCAGTAAGGGTGTAACATGTAGCCTCATTCTGAGTCTTCAGTAAGTGTGTAACATGTAGCCTCAGTCTGACAGGCTTTAGTAAGGGTGTAACATGTAGCCTTAGTCTGACTGGCTTCAGTAAGGGTGTACCATGTAGCCTCAGTCTGACAGGCTTCAGTAAGGGTGTAACATGTAGCCTCAGTCTGACAGGCTTCAGTAAGGGTGTAACATGTAGACTCAGTCTTACAGGCTTCAGTAAGGGTGTAACATGTAGACTCAGTCTGACAGGCTTCAGTAAGGGTGTAACATGTAGCCTCAGTCTAACAGGCTTCAGTAAGGGTGTAACATGTAGCCTCAGTCTGACATGCTTCAGTAAGGGTGTAACATGTAGCCTCATTCTGACAGGCTTCAGTAAGGGTGTAACATGTAGCCTCAGTCTGACAGTGTGGATGGGTTCGGTTGGCCACATTCCAACTTGAGTAGGATTTCAGCGGAACTTGAACATAACTCTCACAAAACATGAACTGCATTTATTTGCGAACGAAACTCTTCAACGAACTGATAAATACATAAACTTGTAGAACTGACCCACAGTTGAGCACTAACTATCAAACTGGAACACAACTACCGTTCAACTTTAAAAGTGAAATAGAACATTACGGCATTTTCCACGCAGACGGAGATTAACCAATCAGTGACTGCGTTCTGAATCAATAATGGAATGTCAGTCAACACCTATGGCTTATTATGGTTTCAACGATAGACAGTCTTCAGTAAGGGTGCAACGTGTAGCCTCAGTCAGTTAATTTTTTATTTATTTAATGTATTAAAAAAAGCTACAAGTCTATTCATTTAAGTAAAACATCAAGAAATAAGTTGTACAACATTACAATCACCATTACAAACATACATCTTCTATTTCAGTCAAATATAAGATAATACAGTGCTGATGAAATGAACATCTCAACTGCAAGGCCATCTTGTAGGAACACATCTTGGTCAAAGTACATGCTTACTGAACTGCATTGATTCAAACTTTTTAAAAATATTTAGGTTAAAAAGTAGAAACCTGATGTTTGAAGAATTGCTAGTTGTCAAACGTACATTTATGGACATCATATGCGACCCACTAACATAACACAGCATGACAACTGTAGTGCTGATAGCATTTACTCGACTCTTGATATGCAGTCTCCAACTGCCAAGATTTGTTGTATTAAATTTGTTATTGCCACCAAAATTTTGAAGATTAACATTTTGTATATTTGCATGCAATTTATAATTTCTTAGTTAACTCCCAACCAATGGATGAATTTCCCATGAACTGCAGGTCAAAACTTCATATCTTCAAAATTAGACAATAATTTACCCATCAATGTGGTTTATAATAAATTGATATCAATATTCATAAAAAAAAAAGCTTTGAACAAAAGGGTGTATCACTATTTCCAATCGAGAGTGGTGATTCAAAGGATACAGTGATGAAAGATTGTCTCTTCAAGATATTGCACCCAAGTGATATCATCTAGGCAATCATGATTGCAATGACCATTTTTAAATGTTATTTTTAATTTATAAATTAATATTAAAAATTAACATTAGCTGAAATAATAGTAAATATTTAATTTTAAGCAAAATGTAATCTGCAAAAATACTTTTAAAATGTTTTTCTTGCATCCAGACAAAAACAGAAACATAAAAGGTAGTCAGAGTAATTAATTTCATAATGCGAATTTACAGATGTCAGGGGGGGGGGGGGAATTGCAGAATTTTGTAATCACAAATAAACAATTATCAAAGAATGAAAATTGATAAGGCCAAATTCAGTATTTTAGAGTGCTGGACTGGAAATGTAAAAATACAGAAATACCAATCTAATAATTCACAAATTGTACAAGAAGCAGATTTATTGAGAGTATAATTGTTCTGAAATACATTTTTATTATCTATTTTCATGAATCATTCATTCCTTTGGTAATTTTTAAATATCCATGAGTTAAATTATGCATATGAACAGTGATCATTCAGTACTGTGATGCCTTTATCACAAGAATATCAAGATGTTGATGTCATCCTGTACTGCCTGCGTACATACTTTGCAGTATTCTCAAGATAACAATATTATCTTACATCTGCTTTCATGTTGTAGAAATAATAGAAATATAATAGTGTGAAATAACGAAGTGTTACCATCTGCGTTCAATATGTATAATATTGCATTGAAGTGTTCAAGTTGCCGGCCCTGAAGAAAAAAAAACCAATACAACTAAACTTTAAACATTATCATTGAAATAACAGAATTGGTGAGCAAACAAATAACATACATACATACATGTATGGACCCCTGAATACATCATTACCTGAAAGAATCTAAAAATAATATTTGAAGAAAATTTTAACTTTGGAATTTCATATTTTGTGAGAGAAACAAGTAATTAATTAGTCCTGTTCTCTGCCATTGCACCGTACCAAATCAAAGTTACGATATAAATTCTGGTTAGCTGTAGAATTTACACTAAATCTGAAACCTTTGATTTTTCATCACTCACTGGTGAGAAAACGTATAAAGAAAAAATGCTCATCAAAGTATTTGAGTAGTACAAAATATTTCCCATATGAACAAAAAGAACCATTCAAATTGTTGAACCGCGACAACCCTCTAATATTAATTCCAATATTTATTTACATTAATTGGAGGCAACATGGTTGTAAGATTAGAAATTATGAAAGCTGTCACCACTATTCCAGAAGTGATCATTGATAATGTACTCTACACATGGTTTATACATGAGACCCATAATAAACACTATATTTATAGTGAATTGCAAGTGCCAGATCACAATCATGGTATTCATAAGATAACTGGAACAGAAGTTATTTGCAAATAGACAAACATTTCAGTAGATTTAGTTGAGTAATTATTTAGCATCTTAGAAATTCAAGTCCAATAGAAAATGGGATTTTCCAAACAAACTATTCAAAAATAGCTTTCTTGATGAATCAAAAGTTGATTGAAACATTACCCATAGGATGGTTTACAATAAAGAGTAGTTTTCAGTATTTGTGAACTGTAGATCCACTTCACCTCAATTTGTTTGACATTTGTAATCACTGCTTCTAAACCCACTTTGTACATCGACTGTTCTAAAAACTGATGATTTGAGGTTGTCCACTAAACAACAAATTGTGACACTTACAACTCACAATAGAGTTCTGATATCATGTTATCACATCTTTCAACTAAGTTTAGCAGACAATACAACATGAAATGAATTCAAATATAATCCAATATTGGTTTTTCATTAAATATATTTACATTTGACCTTGATCAGCAATGACCAGTATATGTACAGAGATTTGTCATTTATAAATTCACACAGCTTTTATAGAATGGATATACAATACAAGGGAACACTCCAAATATAATATTGTTGTGGGTTCTTGCCGTTCTATATGGTAATATTTTTCACAAATATTTTCAAGACATGCATTGCATTGGTCCAGTTTGCCCTCTAAAGACTTCTTTCCAGTTTATCTAAACAGTACACAAGCATGACCAGCCTATCAGAAATGCAGCATTCATTCTATTTGGTGAGTGAGTGCCATTCATGGCATGACTTGCAAATGAACATTTCCACTGAAATTGTATGAAAATACATTTTATGTACTTGATGTGATTATAATAAAAAGATTTAAAAAAAATAACTATAGTTTCTAATATCTAATATATCCCGCACAATAAATAAGAGAAATTATAGTGTTTGATATAAATTGCACTTTTGGAAAAGTACATCCTGGTATTGGAGTAATAAGTCAACAAACTAATGCATCATACACATTAGTTTAACAAGATGATGAAGCAGCTGTAATAAATCAGTGACATCTTTCTAAATTAAATCGGTTACAGTTATAGTTAATACATTGGACAAGTTATCAACATGATTGTATAATATAATACTTACTCTTCTGGAGATGTAATATTTGTGGGCATTTAAGTGACTTTCTAATTCAACTTTAATTAGGAGAATATATTGGACACAAGCACAATCAACTTATTTACAAGACAAAAAAAAACTTTTCCTGGCCTTGATCATGGTCACTTAGGCTTGGCACAACTAATAACATGGTTTGGGAATTATCTGAGAGAAAACCTTAATGGCAGTGATGCATAGTTTTTGATATTAGAAAATTCACAAAATAATATTACTAACAGAAACAGTCTGAATTATTTATTAGGGATCATTTCATCTCAATACCATTAAAATCGAAAGAGGCACAAACATAGAAGCAGTGATTAAGAGTGGACGGAACTATTAGTTGAGTCAAGCCTTGGAACAGAGTGGATGTAAGGTTTATCCGGTGCTTTGAATTCTTAAATGTCAGTAAACATAGTGATTTAAATCTACCTGAATATAACAGTTTTCACATTAATTCTGTACTGTTACTTGCATGTAATTAAAATTATTTTAAAAAATAGCGTGAGGCACTTCATTTGCATATACTCATAAATATTCATTGGCATCTGTCACATGATTCAAACCAACCAATACAAATTTGTTTGTTTCTTTGGATGACATTACACATTCAAATGGTTGTATTCATTTAGATGACATCACATAATATAATATAAATCATCCAATCAAATATATTGTTACATTCATTTACTGGTAGATGACATCACATAATATAATCATCCAATCAGATATACTATTACTGGCACATTAATTAGGAAAATATTCAATTAAATATATTTTTGATTCTTTTGATGTTTCAAAACTGTGTTTAGAATATAGTATGATTAGTGCGTAAGATGACCCTCCTGGCCTTCCTCGACAGCAATAATTTTTAGTACATCATTTTTCTTTATTTCCTTTCTTTGCTCATAGTCTCTTGCTCTGTTGTACAGAAACACACCAGCGACCACAACTGCCGTACCCAGGCCACTCAACAAAGACACAGGATTGTTAAATACTACCACAGACAGCCAGATTAATAAAGCCCTTTTTGCGGTGTTTGCAACACTAGAACAAATCAAGAAATAAAAACATTTATAAAATCAACTTGTATTTTAGCAAATATAAGCTTATGTGTATTTTATTAGCTAATTTAAAGATGCTGTATTGTTTTTGATATTGAATTTCTAAACCAAGTTTTCATATAAAATATTTACCATACAAACTACATATTTGATGGGAAGCTTATTTCACACTGGATGTGAAATTGACAAGATATTGTGTGTATGGACACTTATATTCATATGATCTCTGTGTACACAGAGGCATCTTTGGTAAAAAAAAATTTTTTTAAAGAAACACAAATTTAGAGAAACATTTGCAACAAAACAGTTTTTCAGACAACACTCGCCACCATTCTGCACTGTTTGATATATCTACATGATAGTTGGGGGGAAAATGTAATAACCTAGCTATTTTGTATAACTGTAACTACATACCTATGTGTAACCGGTGAAATTCTTCTCATTAAGGCATAGGCAGTTATACTTTGTAAATGAAAGAATAATCCATCGATTATCAGAGCAAATAAAAGAACATGATCAGGATATTTCTTGTCAAATGGCAGCCCCTAGAAATAGAAATTAATATTTTTAATGCAAATACGATAGGATTGGTTTAATTGCATCATGTGACTTTAAACCTGATGATAGGATTGGTTTGAATGCATTATGTGACTTTAAACCTGATGATAGGATTGGTTTGAATGCATCATGTGACTTTAAACCCAATGATAGGATTGGTTTGAATGCATCATGTGACTTTAAACCCAATGATAGGATTGGTTTGAATGCATCAAGTAACTTTAAAGCCAATGATAGGATTGGTTTGAATGCATCAAGTGACTTTAAACCTGATGATAGGATTGGTTTGAATGCATCATGTGACTTTAAAACCAATGATAGGATTGGTTTGAATGCATCAAGTGACTTTAAACCCAATGATAGGATTGGTTTGAATGCATCAACTGACTTTAAACCCAATGATATGATTGGTTTGAATGCATCAAGTGACTTTAAAACCAATGATAGGATTGGTTTGAATGCATCATGTGACTTTAAACCTGATGATAGGATTGGTTTGAATGCATCAAGTGACTTCAAACCCAATGATAGGATTGGTTTGAATGCATTATGTGACTTTAAACCTGATGATAGGATTGGTTTGAATGCATCATGTGACTTTAAACCCAATGATATGATTGGTTTGAATGCATCAAGTGACTTTAAACCCAATGATAGGATTGGTTTGAATGCATCAAGTGACTTCAAACCCAATGATAGGATTGGTTTGAATGCATCATGTGACTTTAAACCCAATGATATGATTGGTTTGAATGCATCAAGTGACTTTAAAACCAATGATAGGATTGGTTTGAATGCATCATGTGACTTTAAAACCAATGATAGGATTGGTTTGAATGCATCATGTGACTTCAAACCCAATGATAGGATTGGTTTGAATGCATCATGTGACTTTAAACCCAATGATAGGATCAGTTTCTTAGTAATTATCATAACCGGGTACATGTATTATGCATATCATACACCATAAGAATCAAACTTTTAACCCCTACGTTATATCAAATTTTTCTACCTGTATTTCTATAACAAACAAGAAGTTATGCAAATTAGGTTGTTATTGTGATCAGGTAATGATGCATACTAATTTAGGCAGATGATTTTCAACCCACCTATTCACATAGTTCATACCCACCATAGACTCTGGTCAGTACAAATGATTACCTCATAGATTTCCTTTCACGTCACGTAACACAACACCGAGAGGTGGCGGGTTTCAGAGCAAAACAGAAAATAAAAGAGTACTCGAAGATAAAATTACTTATGACTACCCCACCTACATGTAGCTATGACTAGTGAAATCGGTGTCTTACCTTACCAGTGTCCTCCGCATAGTAAAAGTATACTGCTGATAGGGTGACGGGGGTTGGCATTGCCCCAGGACACTAGATCCATGGGGGTAACTAGTATTCCAAAACAGAGGCCGAAACAGTTCTGCATGAGGGCATAGGCCAAAAGCGAGACCTAGAATTTCCAAGGAGCACTGACAGGAGAAATTTCTCCGCACAAATTTGTGATTGCCGAAACTGCTCTATCGCCTATATGCAGGAGTCCATGTGGCCATTCAGGCAGGGTCAATAATTAAAGTTTGACCCGCAACAAGGGGACCCACCCTAAAAAGACCTTCCTCAATAGATTGTGTGTCTCTTAGGTAATAATTGATTAAGATGTTTTGCATTCTCCAGAAGCCTGTCCTAAATACATGTACGAGGGGGCACCTGATGTAAGAGCTAATGAGTTTGCGATCACACGAATCTCATGCACTCATACTTGGTGACTCTGTTGACCATGTGCTGAGGACGCCAACCGGTCATAAACCTCAAACACTGTTGAGGTGATCCACCTAGAAATGGAAGTCGGGGAGGCTGTTGCCCTGCCTCGACTCCCTAGTACGTCTTTCATAGCAACTCAAAGCTTGAATCGTGCAACTCCTTCTGATCCTCCAGGCTGACAATATTGGCCAAACAGGGGATGACGATCAGCTATGGATCATGCCCTGGAATTTGGTTCTTGGTGAGAAACCTGATTCATGTCTTTAGTACAGCTTGATTGTCCATAAAGGCGGCACAACCATCCTAACTTAGAACAATGCCTACTACTGTTTTCCACGTCAAATATTTCAATGGTGCTGATTCCAGCGTTTCAAAGGAAGGTTCCCTAGATTGGGATCTAGGCCTTCGATTATGAAAAGCAGTAAACAGTCTCCTTATAATAGAACAATCGGCTAGTCTTGTCCCCAAAGAATTCTTAATGGCGGGTGACAAGGCTGACCTATAACTAACGATTACTGCATAGGATAAACCTAACTCGTCAAACAGATGGACAGCAGCTACTTGGCCAACAGTGGGGTGGCATGGATCAACCTCCCTTCCACTACACCAATGAACGTATGCCTGCCACTTTGAGTCATAAGCTGTGTTGGTGGAACCTCTATTCGGCCCGGCCAGGATGTTGGCAGCCTGCTAAGATAAACCTTCCGTCTGTGCAAGTCTACTGAGAGACCCCATGCGTGTGGTACACTGCTTGGCTCATTGGTAGTGTGCCATCTGGTCAGGACAGCAGATCAGATATATCCGGAGGCACTACCAGTGTCTCGACTGACATTTTCAACAGTAGTGGAAACCAGGCCTTGGTTGGCCAAATGGGCGCCATCAGCGTCAAGATACAGTGGTGGTTTGCAATTAGCTCCACATTGCATTCCAAGCACCAATGGAGAATTTGCTTTGCTATAGCTGACAGCGATGGGGATCACCACCACTGTGTTGTCCGTGCGGAGCAAGACTGTGTTGTCCGTGCGGAGCAAGACTGTGTTGTCCGTGCAGAGCAAGACTGTGTTGTCCGTGCGGAGCAAGACTGTGTTGTCCGTGCGGAGCAAGACTGTGTTGTCCGTGCGGAGCAAGACTGTGTTGTCCGTGCGGAGCAAGACTGTGTTGTCCGTGCGGAGCAAGACTGTGTTGTCCGTGCGGAGCAAGACTGTGTTGTCCGTGCGGAGCAAGACTGTGTTGTCCGTGCGGAGCAAGACTGTGTTGTCCGTGCGGAGCAAGACTGTGTTGTCCGTGCGGAGCAAGACTGTGTTGTCCGTGCGGAGCAAGACTGTGTTGTCCGTGCGGAGCAAGACTGTGTTGTCCGTGCGGAGCAAGACTGTGTTGTCCGTGCGGAGCAAGACTGTGTTGTCCGTGCGGAGCAAGACTGTGTTGTCCGTGCGGAGCAAGACTGTGTTGTCCGTGGACTTGTTTGTCCATTGGGTGCACTCCCCAACGTGTGAGAGAGGCAACCGTTATCAGAGTCATCGCCGTGACGAGTGGGTCCAAGGAGACCTCCTGCCCAAGGTTGGTAATTTCCACCCACCAGGGCAAGGCATCACTCACTTGGTCTGAGAGAATAACTCACCTCTCCAGTTCCCGTAGGTGAAACCGGTGTTGCAACAAAGTGCGTTGCACCGGGTGGCTGCACAATGCAGCTTGGGGAACTACCCTACAAACTGACGTCAACCCAATGATGCACATCAGTTCTCTGAGAGACACAGAGGGACTAGACGCTGACTAGACCAGTCAGATAGACTGCTTATTGCTAATTGCTTCTGTGTAAAACTCCATGCCTAGAAACACCAACTGACATGTCGGGTGTGGATGGGACTTTCTTCAGATTTACTAGAAAGCCTAATTGGTGAAGTAAATCCTGTGTTAGCCTTACCTACTCGGCCAACAACCCCTTGTTTTGGTTGTGTAAACCTTGCTCACTTCCTTATAAGTGAAAAGGGGGGGTTAACGATGTTCAATGGAGAGGTCTAGCTGGGGTTGGGATCGGGGGAGGGTTCAGACCGGGGGATACAAGGAGGAGCCACTCTTTGAATGCGAACTTCCTGGAGTGCTTTCTCCTGCTTGCCGCCCAAGAGACGTCTGCAGTGGAGGAATCACTCTCTGAGAAACCTTAGTTCCACCACTGCCGGGCTCCCACTGGACAATGCAGCATCCTAGATACTGGTAGTCGAAAATGAGGACCTCCCATGCATACATGTACTAACACTCATCTCACCTATGCTGGGAGAGCCATCCAAACAGACAGTGCGACTAGCCTGAGCTTCGGCAATCAGTCTCGACATAAAGGCGGTTTTGAAATTCCTAGAGATTTGGATCCCAATTAGAGCACATGCACTCATGGCAAAAACCCCGAACCCCAAACGCATTCTAAACAAAGGTGACATTTGATGTGTGGCAAGATCGAGTTGATTTTTTTGGGCGACGACCCGGGAGGTGAGGAGCTCTTCTTGGAGTGCTTTCCTTCCTTCTAGTTCATTTTAACTACGCTAAGAAATGAACAAGGCATGCATGAGTGGAAGAAATTACAGTTGAAACTGACACAATGAAGCCCTACAAAAGTCAGTTAACCACTTTAAGTGGTCAAGTGCGTCATCCGAGTTTTATTGCGTGCTGTACAAAAAGAATACAGGGCTCCCAAAGACAAATTTTATCCTCCCAGACACCACATCTTACTGTTACCAACGGTCACAGGAGTACCTCAGAAAGCTCAGTCGAAAAACTACTGACTGAACAACACTGTTTCGTAATATGCACACTCGAAGTAAACAGAGAGAGTGAACATAAGGCAAGATGGTGAAGACCTTTTGATCTTGGTCATGTGTTACGTGACGTGGAAGAAACATGGAAGAAAATCTATGAGGTCATGGGGCTTCTCCTGATCTAGATTTCTCTCTCCGCCGTTGGCTGAATTACAGATTAATGCCTACAGTTCAAAATAGTCATTTTGACTGATCGAGTCTATGGTGGATAATTCAACATAGTGAATTGGTTCCTGGATGTCCAATCCTGAGGAGGTAGACTCACCATAAACAATACCCATACAGGAAGCTGAACTATGATGGCAGCAATACTCGTGTAAAACTGTAATTCTGTAGCACTGAAATAACAAATTTGATGAAGTGATATTTAGCTG